TTCGATTCCATCACTATACAAGACTATATGCATTTTATGCTATCAGCAATTGCTGAACATTTTTGTTATATACCCAAACAGTACGAACGTACCGATGTTATAATATAATACAAGATAACTTATTAATCCGGACAATGACGGATGAATCGATCATTATTTTTATGATTCACAGACGATATGTTATCACTTCAAGTAATGTTTAATAATGTTTAGGCATGTCGGAATCTCGGGATTTAAAAGCAGACAAATTTCATTAATAATTTACTCGATGCAAGTGTAAAATAGAGAGATATAATTACTTGTAGCGTTGTACGTTTGAATTCGTTATTTGCACAATTATTCGCTTACTTGTTCTTTTGCCGAAATCGCTTGATGTTAGGTTAACACCCATTGCCGCCTCATCGTCAATTAATTTTTGTACATTATCATTTAAAATTTCCACTGCCATATGGTTTTGCTTTAAAAATTGTCTCGCTCTTTTCAAATGGTCTTTTGTTATGGACACATCTAAAAATTTTACATTTTCTTTCCATACATTGCCACCTTCAAGATTAAGAATAAGAACAACAAACAATAAACAATAAACAATAAACAATAACGAAAAGTAAAATCTTTCATTGGCAATTATTAATAAAATTCGATATAAGTTTACCATATTTGTATTCGAGGACATCGGTTAATGGTATCAAATTTTCATCTATATATTTCGATATATTATGAATGCGCCATAATTGTGTGCCATCGTAATGTATTGGACTCGCGTTAACATCTATATAACGTGTTTCGTCGTTGTTGATTGTTGTTGGTGCAAACTGTTTCTTTTGATTTCCGGTATTTGTAATGAATTGAACTTTTTCTTCATCATTATCCAAGGCATACGTTCGATACGTTATAACCGTTAATAATAATAATAATATGAATAAAATTGTTGATGTTGTTAATGTTGTTGCTTTTGACCTTGAAAGATAACATTTTCTTCTTCTATCTTTTGACGTTTTCATTTTCGCTCAGTATATTCTTCTATTGGTTTTATATTTGAATTCTCGTTGCTGATGATGCTGCCGCTTCGTATTGATTCATTTAATTATTAGACGAATCTGTTATAAAATATATAAACAAATGTCGTACTTATATCAATTTCCATACGTAATACAATTGTAATGCGAGGGCGTTGTCAATAAGTACTTGAGTTTAAGAGCTGACAGACTCACTATCCCTGAATGTACTTAACGCTTAAATTTATCAGATAACCGTTTTGTTTTTTCCCCTTCTTTAAAAATGCCCGCTTGAGATTCGATTCGATTCGAGCTGTTTCCTGAGCGGAAATATGACGTGAACGGCACGACAACGGGCCGTAGTATCTATAAACACTTTCAAGAGTTGATTTTAATTAGCAAACGGGAAACGTGCTGAGATCAATGTAAATGCATGGTATATAATCCTAGAAGATCATGGTAGCAAGACGTCTTAGTTGAGCTGATACTAAGCTGATTTTTCAATTAAATGATTTCTATAGATAACTTATATAAGCAAAATTATTTGATATGTGAGAATATATCTGTCGAGGATTTTGTGAAATTGTAAGACCACTGTCTTATAGCGATCGATATCGAGTCAACTCGATTGCGGTTGATTTTAATATGTTACTCGATAACAGTTTTAAGATTGAAAGATTATTGATGCGATGGTAAAAAAATTGCATACTTTATCGATATTGGTTGTTACAGCGTGTCTGTCAAGAATCGACTGCTAGCACGTTCACTCGATATCGTCAACCAGACCGTCGCTCGCCGCTCCCCCAATTTTACTATAACGGTAAACGTTGATTCTAGTCTTCCGTCCATTTCAAACTATATTATGTTCTTCTCTAAGCTTGTCTGTTTGTTTGTATGTCTGTTCATTCGTCCACTTGTTTGTCCTATTTTTTTTGTGTTCAACGTGACATGTTTTAGAACGGACGCTTCCTTCGTAACGCCTTATTTTTGAAAAGTTATATGGATAACTAAGTGTATTAAGCGAACGTAGTGTAGGGTATTTAGCAACTGGCCGTCTTAAGTGTTAATTAAAAAAAAATATATTTGAACAAATTGCAAGTTTTAGTCGAATTACGGAGCTAGATAAAAATCGCTTCACCGCCCGCTTTAGGAAGAAGAGCAGCGATTGAAAAGTATCTTCAATTTTTCTTCTCTTTTCAAATTTGCTGAATGGCTCTCGTAAATTGATGAAAAATCACGATGATATTCATCGATAAATTCGCGGGCAAAAAAAAAAAAAAAAAAAAAAAAAACAAATAAAATAAAACAGTAAAAATTTAATTATAATTAATACAACGTTGGAAAGGGTGCATTGAGAAAAACCCATGATTCGTCTTCTAATTCACACATTAATTACATCACGTTCATATACGAAAGGCTTAATGGAAATAAAAAATGCCAGTTATATTGATTGTTACTTTCTTATTGTTGGTGGGTGTCTTGTGGGTGTAGCCTTCAAAAAAAAAATAAATAAATAAATAAATAAAAAGGAAAATAACACTATCCTGGAATGAATTTAAAATTGCTCGTAATGTATATGATGTTGATAAAAATTTGAAATGAACTTGCACGCGATATATATATATATATATATATATATATATATATATATATATATACATATAAATGCAGTAAAGGTCATAATGTTAGTCATTCTTGGTTTGCAGGAATTTTTTGTTCATTGTAACAACCATTCACTCGACGTATGACGGAAGTATCTTAATTTCCTTTGCAAAAAAAAAAAAAAAAAAAAAAAAGAATTGTATGGAAAACGTTTCGTTATATTTCCGAATAAATGTTTCTACAATTCGTTCGTATGCGTGATGAAATGCGTCGTCTAGATGCGTAATTGCTTCACAAAGTTAATCTCTCTAATTAGAACTACAACGACATTAGTTTCATTAATGACGTAAAGCACAGATGTGAAATAAAAGTGAGGGAGGGGAAAACGGTGGGCCCATGACAAAATGTTGACGGAAAATTTCCTTTTCCTACCTAATTGCGAACAAAGCAAATTCGATATAACAAAAAAAAATAAAAAATATTTTTGCAAAGATTTGGCACAATTTTACATACGTACGTACATACGCACGTTTTATATGAATTCGATAAGGGCAAAAAGATGGGATACATTATATAATTTCTGAATTTTTAACCATTTGCATACCTTAGAATATCTTTGATAATTATTCGGTAATCAAGCCTTAGCCGTTTAAAGTACAAAAAGAGTGCAAAAAGTAGGCCTAAATTTGATTAATTAAAACTGTTAGGTATCGAATTGCAAAAGCTGTTTACTGTAGCGCATAGTTGAAAAGTTTTTCAATTTCAAATGCGAGTAAAAAAAAAACAGATGAGTCACATCTCGTGAATTTCGGAAATATCTTTAAATGTAAATATGTACTTGAAAATTGTTGTGGGATAAGAGGGCTAACAATGCGTCAGAGTTGCCTGTAATCCGAAATGGAATTGTAAACCGATTGTTGCTAAATTTTGTCAGTTGTTTTTTTTGTTTCGGAACGATGACCAAACTAAAGTGTAGCGCGCGGGTGTGCTGTAAGTTTAGGACCCGCAGGTAAGGCCTCAAAAAGCCAAAAAATGACTAATATATCAACAATAACGATATCGATAGAGTTTGTTATACATATATAGCAGAACGTTTTATCGTTTAATATATCATCAATTGCCACTATCTGGACGAGATAGATACTGGGAAAAATTGACCTATGAAGGGAAATTAACAGATTAGTTCTTTAAATAGCAGCAAAGAGATGCGATATATTTATGAATATTATATCGACTACGGAATATTCGCGTAAAATCCGTTTAAGGTAACTGTGGCCGAGTTATTATTTACTTTCTAGTGCTTTCTAGTAAAACGATTTGTACCCTTGTAAATTGTTTGAAATTGAAATTTATGTATAAGTTAAGTTAATTTTGTCTTTTAGTCTTTGCATGCGTTTGTGTTTGTGGATTTCAAACTTAATCCTATGATCCTCAATTATGATCATATATGTAAAGTTTTCACTTTTTATCTCAACATTTTTGCGACCGCATAAGGTCTCACTGTTAGATGGACGGACAGAGTGAGAAAATTGATTTTTTAGTTTTTTAAAAGTTAATCTCACGATCCTTAATTAAGAACATATATGCAATATTATAACTTTCCTTCTCAGTTTTCGCGTTTGTCTTAAGATCAACACTGGGATGGACGGACAGAATTATGCAAGAAAATTGAATTTTTGCTTTACCAAAAAAATTACTCTTACGATCCTCAATTAAGATCATATATGCAAAGTTTTTACTTTCTATCTCAACATTTTGTGGCCGTATAAGGTCTCAGATGGTAGATGGACGGACAGAGGGATGAAAGAAAAATGACACGAAATCTTTTCCCAATCCCAATTAAGTGTGCATGATTTTTGAATGTGGTAAAGGATATAAACGTCATCTACCGCTCATATATTGTAAAAGATCCGATTAATTTCTTCTCTTCGGATATTGAGTTTGAATGGAATAAGCCAATAAGAACTGTGGCTTATATATGTCCGATAAATAAGTAATTCACTTGAAAATTTCATTTATAAGTTTTTATGTTTTATTTTTTTGTGTGTGTTTACTTTTTTATTTAACCTTTTACTTGGAATTTTTTTTTTTATTAGTAATGTATTTCCATTTGATATATAATTATATGCATATATATATATATATATATAGATGTTTTATTCATTCCTTTTCGAAACTATAATAAAAACTTTTTATTGATTTATATGATGAATGTTTGTTCATTTGGGATTTTTACCGCTTAATAAAACTCGTTTTTGGAAATCTTTCACCGAAAATTTCTTTCAAAATTCAAAACTTGTTTATTTATGGGATATAGTGTTTTTTTATTTTTATTTTTTATTTTTCAGTTTTCTGCTGTTTTTGCTGTTGTTCGTTTTTAATGCTTATCTCAAGGGATCTTGTTATCGCAATTAGTTTGGTTTTATTGTTGCAGCTTCAGAGATAAACTTTATTTATAACCGTTTCACTTTCTTATTGGATTCGTTTTTTTTTTTTTTTTTTTTCTTATACTAAACGCCGCTAGCCGCTGTTTGTAAAAGTTTGAAGCGCTTGCGCTTTACTTGATCTCTATAGCGTTAATTATTAAATAATACATTAACAAAAAAGAGAAAGAGAGAGAGAGAGAGAAAGAGAGAGAAGGATTATTTATATATATATATATATAGATGTATATGTGTTTGTATATATATATATATATATATATATATATATTTTTTTTTTTTATATTAAAATTTACAACAGCCGATACGATGATCAAACAAACGATTACGCGGACACCTCAGTTACAAGACTAAACGTCGGAAATGAAACGTCGTTAATTTTATACATAAAAATAAAACAAGCAAAGCGAACTATAAAAAGGAAAAATAAAAAAATAATATTAATAACGATAAAAAAAAAGCCCAACTCACACATATTTTGCAAAAAAAAAAAAAAAAAAAAAAACACCAAAAGAAGACAACACAAAAATTATGTTTTATAAGCGCAAATGTGAACTCACGTAGAGATATACGTTACAAGCCGAGTCCCGGCTTTTTGTTTTTGTCTCGCACTGTACACACTTTACACTATGGCTCTGCATATTGCTGCTGCCTGGAGGAACACAGCACAGTTTAATATATCATCTAAAGCAATACATGCGTTTACCTAAATTATTAAACTCAATACTCTTGTTTGACTTAATCTCTTTCTCCCTCCCCTCTCTCTCCACCTAAATACCTCACGCATTTGTCATTTTTTTTTTTTTTTTTTTTTTTTTTTTTTTTTGTATATTATTACTCACTCGCTTATATGACTGACACTGATCCGACGTAATTATGAACGCCTGACTATCTCGCTCTCGTGATAATGTCACTCATTGGTTTCGTATTTGGTGACGTTGTGATTGCATTCGCATTTAAAACCCTATGTTATTTTTTGTGTATAATATATTTGCCACAAAAAATAAATATATATATATGCGTTGTATGTTTTTTCGAAAAAAAAAGAAAATATATATACAAATATTATTTTCATTTTTTTTTTTTTTTTTTTTTTTTTTTTTTTGTCTTTTTAACATGACATGTCATTAATATATTTAATTTTTTTTTTATTCTCTCTTTAGTATTGAACTTTTGCTTTACGGTTTTTTACGGTTGCATTTACGTTTGCTACGCTTTTATAAGTAGTAGGAAAATTTATATTTATTTTGGGCCCATGAGGGCTTATGAGTTCCTTGCATACATACGTATGCGTAAATGGGTCAAGGGAGAACCTTTGCCGCATTGAAGAATCAGAGTACATTACGTTTTCACAGAAATAAGTTGTAAGGAATGCATAGCATAGTCAGACGCTTGATTAGAGTAAGATGGCGAAATTTAATTTCTTCATTCTTTATAAATAATGGAAATCGTTACAACTCGTAAAAACCAAGACGAACAATGCAAATTTAGCAAATTTTTTTTGGTTAAATTTCAAGTGTTCAATTCAGACGCACAGATCTAGCCCTCGAAACAAGAACTAGAAAAAGGAACCCGATACTGAAACAAAACTTTTGCTAAAAGTGACTTACAAGCTGCAGTATTTAATGATTTAAAAATATCCGAAAAAAAGATGGACGAGATATGGTGCGCAAAAGCACTCTTGCGATCAGCCAAATGACACAAACAAAAAAAAAAAAGTAGCGAAATAAAGCACATAATAACTATCTTCCCCTTGGTTCATTTATGCGCATCGTTAATATGACTGACAATAAATCCAGTAAGCACTGCGTCAAGACAAAAAAAGCAATGTATTACGAGCTATTAAAATCGGATGAAACTGTTATTGCAGATGTCTACCGACCCGCAATAGCGATTAACAGACGCAAAGCCTTCCTTTTGTCAAGGATACGTAATTGTAGGTCGAATGGAAAGTTCTGCCGCAGCCAGCATACTCACTTGGACTTGGTGCATTCTGATTACCACCACTTGTTCAGATCGATGCAGCATGGGTTGGCTGGCGCCCACTTTCGAACCAAATCATTTCATTGTTCTTTCGACGCTGCGTCGCCCTATCACCAGAAAGACGGGAAAAACTGATAGAAAATCATGGGAAATATTTTGATTAACATATACATTATATCAATGTTTCTCAATAAATACATCTTTCAAGTGAAAAAAATGATCAAAGTAGATGCGAGTTAGGTTTACTAAAGAATATTGATCAACTAGAGCCAAGAAGTGTTCAGCCGGGGCACATTAATTGTTATGCCAAAGGAGAAGAGATCATCATTTCCGCCAAAAATGAACAATAAAATAAAAATAAAGCAAAAAAATCCTCTTTTGTTAACTCGATTTTTTACTTTCTTCCTCTTCCTCCTTGCATTTACATTATTTTTCATGCTTTAATAAGATTACAAGTGTAATCGTTGTTTATGTGTCGATTCGATATTTGTTATTAAGAAGCAAAACAAGTGAAGACATTGTTCCATTTGCTTCAGGAGAAACATTTGATACCGACCATCTTACGTATCAGTAAGTAATCAATCGGGATTTTATTTAAAACTTCTAGCTATCGGTGGAAAGTGTTTGTACACAACGTTCTAAATTAGCATCTGTTATGGGTTGTTGGTTGGTTACATTTTTTATACCCTAAACCATTTGCGAGGGGGGGGGGGGGGGGGGGGGGG